GTATTAAATATACTTTATAAACTATTACTATATACTTAATACATAATAATATCTACTTCTCTACTTATATTTTATATATACTTATTTTCCAATCTCCAATTCTCCATTATACTCTAATATTTAATTCTAATACAATTATTATATCCACTTAATACATACATTCTACATCTACTTAATATATATTTTATATATTAAAGTATAAAATATAAGTGTATTACTCATCTTATAGTATAGTATACTTATATATTATATAATATAAACATTATATTATATATTACTTACTATAACTAGTATTATACTAGTTAATTAGTTAATTAGCATTCTTGTTACATTTTTCATTATACTAGTTAATTAGTTCATTACCATTATTGTAACATTTTTCATTATACTAGTTAATTACTTAATTAGCATTCTTGTTACATTTTTCATTATACTAATTAATTAGTTCAATACCATTCTTGTTACATTTTTCATTATACTAGTTAATTAGTTAATTAGCATTCTTGTTACATTTTTCATTATACTAGTTAATTAGTTCAATACCATTCTTGTTACATTTTTCATTATACTAGTTAATTAGTTAATTAGCATTCTTGTTACATTTTTCATTATACTAGTTAATTAGTTCAATACCATTCTTGTTACATTTTTCATTATACTAGTTAATTAGTTAATTAGCATTCTTGTTACATTTTTCATTATACTAGTTAATTAGTTCAATACCATTCTTGTTACATTTTTCATTATACTAATTAAAATACTTCACATTTTATTTAACTAGTTGTTAGTTTGTTACATTTGTCACTATACTAGTTAACTACTTAATTAGCATTGTTGTTACATTTTTACTTGTACTAGTTATTTACTTCAAAAGTTGCTATAATTTTAATTGTAGAGACACACATTAATTCTACTTTGCAAAAAATTAGTTTGAAGTATTAATTAAAATAGTTTTAATTAGTTGCATTAGTTTTGTATCCATTATTATATTTGTTGTGAATTAATATTTGTTACATTTTTTAGATGGAAGGTGGTAGATATTCGGTTGATTTGGGTAACCTCCAACGCAATCGAAGAAACGAGATTGGGAGGAAGAAATCCCGCAAAGGTAAAGAACTTGCCGGGTCTTCATCTCAAAGTCGAGATGATTTTGAAACGGGTTTCCAAAGGCGAGATGGAGATGCGATGTCCGAAGAACAACTCCAACAAGAATTGGCCCGACATAATAACCGCTTTCTACAACAACAACAAATGTCGACGACCATTGACGAAGAGGAGCTTGAGGATGAAGATGCGGAGGAATTGGAACCGGAGACGGCCGAGGAGGAGGGTGCCGGCAGCCACGACGCCGACGCGCCTGCCTCATCCCAAACCGCCACCGGTAATAAAAAAAGTAAGTCTGAACTAATGAAAAATAATTTTGATAAATGGAAGGACCCACAAACCGGCTATTGGCACGCAACTTGCAAGTGGTGCAACAACAATTATAGTTTGGGAACCTCCGGCGGATACGGATCCGCCGCAAGGCATCTTAAGGCAAAGCACCCCGTGGAGTATGCAAAATTAGGCGGCGGAACGGGGAAGCAAACTCAAATATCGAGGTTTGCGAATTCTCAACCTTTTGGTAATTTCTCCTACAATGATGCACAAAATTTGACTGGTATGGCTAACTTAATTTGTGAAGAAAATTTGCCTTATTTGTTTTCTGAAAGTCTTGCTTTAAGAGATTATGCACAAGGTAGTTTAAATCCTCAATTTAGAAATTATAGTCGCAAAACTGTTAAGAAAGAAATAATAAGGCTTTATAATGCGGAAAAGGAAAGGTTACAAAATTTTTTTGCAAACTTTGATGGGCGTGTTACTATTTGTTCTGACATATGGGAGGATGATTTTCATCATTTATATTATTTGGGTCTGACTGCACATTATATTGATGAGGATTGGAATATGCATAAACGTGTTCTTGCTTTTCGTGAATTTAATGATCGTCACACCGCTGAACATATTTATATTTTGATTGAGCGTATTTTAATTGAGTATAATTTGATTGATAAGGTGTTTGCTATTGGTTTCGATAATGCTACTAATAATACTGCTGCTATACCTAGATTGCGTGAGTTGTGTGGTGCCAATTCTTTGATGGGTAGATTTTTTCATCAACGGTGTGCATGTCATGTTATAAATTTATGTGTGCAAGACGGTTTAAAAGCGTTAGGAGATTCCATGGAGGTAATAAAGGGGGGGGGGGTTAGACGTATTTGGGGTAATGGTCAACTTAGATTAAAATGGCAAAGTTATTTGACTGAAAGAGGTGTGAGATATGTTGCTTTTCCTAAAGATTTGAGTATTCGTTGGAATAGTACTTATAAATTATTTAAAGTTGTTCTTAGATATAAAGAACATTTTCCTGCTTTTTTAAAAGAACATGATAACTATATTATAAACGCGGCTGAGATCGACACTTGCGAAAAAATTTGTAATGTTTTGATATATTTTTTTAATGCTACTGAAACTTTTAGTCATGTTTATAAACCTACCGCAAACCAATTTATTCCACAAGCTGTTAATCTCGCCGATGCTTTTAAAGAATTTCAAAATGCCGTTTTCGTTCATTATTTTTGTGATATATGAAGGAAAAGTTTTTAAAATATTATGCGCATATTCCCCATATTTATGGTATTGCATTTATTCTCGATCCTCGTTATAGACTTGCTAATTTGGAAGATTGTTTCAACTTCTATTATCTTGCGTTTTTCGGTGAATTTCCAATGTATGAGGATAACCCCATAGATCCGAAAACGGAATACAACGAGGTTAGTACTTTATTTTATGCCTTATTTAATGAGTTTCGTGCACAATATAGCAACGCTCCCCCTCCCCCGTCACGAACATCTTCATCTAAAGGAAAATCGATTTTTAAATCTGCATTTGGCAATCTTATGAAAAAAACTAAAACAACTCACGTCACTGAACAAAGCGCATTGAATGAGATTACTTTGTATTTAACATATGAAGTTGATTTTGAAGAAAATGATGACTTTGACGTTCTAGACTGGTGGAAGTCAAAAGAAAGAACGTTCCCGATTTTAGCACGGATGGCTAAGCAAGTACTATCAATGCCGGTTTCAACAGTTGCGGTGGAACAAGAATTTAGTTCGGCCGGCAACGTCCTAACGGCATCTAGATCGAGATTGAGCGCGGAGTCTCTTGAGACGCTTATATGCTACCACGATTGGTTGAAGGCCGCACGTAGAACTCAAGAATTGAGCATCACCCCCTCCCAAGATTTTATGGATGACTCAACAACCGATGGTGGCTCTACCTATGCCGGAGATTCCGATTGATTAGTATTTTAGAATTTATTACAAAATGTATTTTATAGCACTTGTCAAATTTATTTATACTTGTACTTCATATTTCAAAATTGTAAACTTGTACTTCATATTTCAAAATTGTAAATTTGTAGTTGTAGTTCAAATTAATTTGTAAACTTGTACTTCATATTTCAAATAAATATGTGTTCACTTTTTCATATGTAGCACTTCTCAAATTAATTAATTGGTTACAATCTAACGACTTAAAATTATTTTTCTAAAATATAAAGCCGGTTTTTAAATTAAAAATACATTTAGAATATGTAATTTGTTTAAATACCTATACACCTATTTTGTAACATTTGTTTTAGTTTTACTTAATTCATTAAATTAATTAATTTATTTTACAATATGTGTATAACTTTAAAAAAAAAAAAAAAATTAAAAGCTCCCAAACGGCTATATAGCCGTTGGGGCTATGGGTGGGGGGCAGGGGGGTCCCGGGGGTGGTGGTGTGGGGAGTGGGGTTCAAAAACACCTATAAATACATCTATTTTCTAACATTTTTCTATACCTTTTCTCCAATTCTTCTCAAACTCTTCTCCATCTTCATCTTCTCTTATTATCCTACATTCCTACTTATACATATACCATTTTAAATATGGAAAGTACATCTTCCCTTATGCAAAACAATTTTGACAAGTGGAAGGACCCGAAGACCGGACTGTGGTGGGCAACTTGCAGGTGGTGCAAGAAAGACTGTTGCTTGGGGCGTTCATACGGATACGGGATGCCAATAAAACATATGAAGTCCTGTGACAAAGGGAAAACAACAACCAACGGTGGCGGAAATCCCAATTGATATTCATTACAATTTACAAAATGTATTTCGTAATGTTATTTTTTTTCTCAATTCTCAAATGTAGTTCTTATTTCAAATAAATGCACTTGAACTTTGTTTTTAATAGCAATTTGTATAATATATAATTAATAAAAAAAAATTGTACTGGCCCGGCCCGGCCCGGCGGGTGGCCCGAACCGTGACCCGGGCGGGTGACCCGGCCCGAACCGGAACCGGTCATTGACCGGGCCGGTCCCGGGCCTACCGTTATAGGACCCGAGGCCCGACCGGGCCTTGACCCAGCCCGGGCCCGACCCGGCCCGGGTCCATGCCTACATTATACCATAAAGGCATAAATCTCACCTTTCACAAAGATAATATTTTGCAAAGATAAGAAAATAACTTTGAATAGCAGGTCATTAACCGGTCAGGGACCATCGAATGACGAAAAGGTGGGACTATTATAAGAAGACTACTAAAAAGTTGGATTATTAGTTTTCATTTTCCCTTTTAAATCTGAAGCAACCAAAATTGGATAATATAAAACCAATACAAAAATACAATAAAACACTGACAGATTTTAGGAAGACAAATCCAACCCAAACAAACAAACTAGAAGTGAACCAAATCAAGCATAGTTTGAATTTACTCAGAAACCAAACTGTACTGGGTAAAAAAAACTGAACCACACCTCAAGTCACATCCCTACAATGAAAAATTTACAGCATAGAACCACTTCCAAGTTAGGGAGAGGTAGACGCAGACAAATATGAGACTAGATGGGTAAGATGAAGCTCAAAGAGGTAATAGTTGAAAAACCTCAATCATCTATCAAGGACAAAAACAGAACCATCTAAATTAGTTTCATTGGAGCTCTTTAGTTCATGAAACATGTTTTTGTTATTGGTATGTAATATGTATGATCTCACTTACCTTTCTTCCAATAAAAGAAAGTGCGCATATTTTCCCTATGTTAACAGTAATAAAAAGTCTAAAGAAAAAAGGAAAATGAGATGATAAATATAATCTACAAACGGAGAATCTCCAGAGTGAGATACTCTGTATCTCCAGACATACCACCAAACCACTTACATTATGAAACACTTAATCCCAAGGGAAATTTTATTTTATATTCATTCTGGAGGCTTTGTCACCGGGCAAGCTCATCATTGGTATATGTCTTCATAGTAATTGTTGTCATTGATGAGAGAAACGAACCGCTCCAGCCAGGGAAGCTGATGAAGATCCTTCATTGGGTCAGTGTAAGAGTGTGGTGGAGGAGTGGGGGATTGGTGATCGGCGGTGGTCAGACTGAAGCCTCCTGCAAGAAACCTCTGGATCAGTTCAAGTTGGGATCTCTCTTCATCTGAATAGGCGTCCATGATCATGGGGAGGGACTCGAAAGAGTCCCACGCCCAGTGCTCACCAAACTGTTGTGCCAACTCCCGTGAATTGTTACTATAATTATAGTTATAATTATAACTGTGACTGTAATTATAATCTTCGGCCCACAATGCACATTCACAACTCTGTCGTCCATTCCTGTACTCCCCCCCACATGAAAAACAGAACTCGTGCCCACACCTGCATATTTAATTAAAACATAGTTACGTAGGACGGCACCGTTCTTTTTCAAGTAATGATGTATTTTATTTATTAAATACTAATCCCTCTGTCCCACTAAGATTGTCCCAATTTTCCTTTTCGGTCCGTCCCATTAAGACAAATTTAGTAAAATTTGTGTGGTTCTAAATCATTCTTACTTTATCAATTCAATATCAACCACATAAACCCACTTTTATTGGTATGTGTTCCACTCCCCTCTTGTGCCATTGTACCATTGTACCATTGGTATGCACTATCTTTCCTGAGAATCACTTTTAATTAAAAGATAGCTAATTCTTGCTTCATTTTTATTCATCTTGCCTTCATTTACCCAATTTGTTTGTTCCTTTTTATGTCTGTTCAATCATTTATACAAATCTATGCACATTAAGTACATCCCTATCCAAATTCCACCCTTCTTATACTAAAAATGGAAGAGAATAATTCAATAATAATAATAGTGAGTAATTACTTCATTTTAAATAAAGACACGTTAGGCAATTTATTGTATCACTACAATAAAAAATCTCATTTTCATAAACTGTGTGATTTGTCAATGAAGAGAGTACGAATGCTATTCTTAGTAGATGCATAACGCATTGATTTATTATTTGTTACCAGTACTACCAAGTATTTTCAAACTTTTGTTATACTTCATACAGATTAATAATCCACTGTTTTAATTATAAATAGCCCAGCAGTGTAGGATCATTTTTTAATAATCTCTCATCTATGAGTAGAAACAAAATAGTCTTCCTCTTGTAGTTCACGGAAATTTTTATAGAAGAAAATTCATTATATAGGACTAAAGCATAAAGAAAGTGCACATATAGGTTTATCATTGTTTTATTCCCAAAATAGGACTTATTCACTCCTAATAGGGGAAGTTTATACTTTTCATAGGATCAAATGAGTCCTATTTCAGGAATAAAATACATGTAGTCCTATTTGTGCATTTTGTCTAAGTTTTAGTCCTATTTAGAGCAATGTCAAACTTCTATACTCCCTTTGCTATTTATTATTTGATGTTTTACCCTATCACATTTGTGATCTTATTAGATGTTTTAAACTTATTTAATGAGACAGAAGATTTTACTTTAACTATTTGAGATTCCGAATTCTCCAAAACGGAAATACCTATTTTACATAAAATAATTCACTTGAATACATATTTTAATAATATAAAAACCTTTTTATCCTCCAAGCCTGCAAAGAGGGATTCAAACAATAAACTTACAAAAGTATATCATCAACTATTGTGGTATTTCCTAATACATCTAATCTGACAATAAAGCGGGAAAGTAGTAGAATTCTGAAAATGGAAATGAATAACACTTAGTACTACAAAAAAAACAATAAAGAAAAAAACTTACAGGCAAAAGATGTGGTGGCAGCCATGTGTGAGCTCAATCATCCTTTGGCAATGTAAACAAATCCTCCACCTTGGATTTTGTGCCGGACGGTGCAGAGTGATACCCTCAATATCCCTTTCCTCAGGCATGATATTTTGGTACTCTTCACATGTCATTGAAGGGTGCCACGGGACCCTGCAATCCACACAAACAAACCTCTGACAGGCCGTGCACTCCACACAACTGCTATCATCGGATGAGCTAGCTCTTATTGAAAAGCATTTATGAGGGTCAAGAAGAACTGAACAATTAGGATACGGGCAGTACACTTTGTCTGCATTGAGAACATTAGCTTCCACAAGCATTGTCTCCAGAGATAAATATGAAAAAACGGGCAAAAAAGATTTACATTCTGCAGCAGACACGTAATACTTGCAGCTCAGATGAGGGCACCTAATAGGAACTTGTGCGGATTCTACTTTCCCTTCCACATAAGCCTTCAGGCAGTGGGAACAGAATTTGTGGGAGCATTTCAAAGTCATCATCATCAATCCAAGCTTATCCTCACAGCATATAGAACAGATTTCTGTTGATTCTTGTTCCTTCAAACACGGGGAGACAACCCCTATTGCTACTTGAGCAAGCTCCAATGCTCTTGCAAGAGTACTACTACTCTCAACAACTTTTATAGCAAATAGTTCCAAGTCATTGGCATATTCTAATATTCTTTGCCTCATTGCCATTAGAAGTGGGTTCTCAATGTCCTTTTTATCCATAATCTGAAAACATTTACTACTAGTTCATAATAATCAAGGTTACAAAGAAATGTCAATACTAATGCAAGAAAGTATTGATAAACACTTGTCCAATATAGAAACTGCAGATGAATGGTCATCAATTCTCCGTATACAAGTAATAACGAGATAAAACAACAGTTTTAGTCCATTCGTAGCTCATCAAAATGACATCATAAAATAACCAAACAAGAAAAAGTAAAGGTCTTTAGAACAGATCAACACTAACCTGATTATATAAAATTTCAGAGTCAGTAATAGCATGTACTCGCCTAATTTTGTTACGAGCAGCCTGTGCAAGCCCGTCCATTAAGGCTAAATAATCTGCAGCCAACTGTTCTACAAAGAATTCAAGCTTTTTCTGCACTTCCATGGGAGTAGTGCTTGTACTCTCCATAACCACTCCGATCCCAGATAACCCAGAGTCTCCAGGGCTAATTACAGAAGTTCCTTTGAAGTACAATTTAACAGCATGTTCATCAAGAACAATCTCATGGTTTTCAGTCTTCAATTCCTTATCCTCCTTCACTTCTTCACCTTCTTCCTCTACAACCAGCTTCATTAATTCCTGCTTCTCCTTCAAGTCCCTCTCAGAGTGTTGTTCTTCAAGATGTATCTCAGAGGTTTCACTTGCCTTTTCCTCGTCCTCTTCTTCATCACGTTCTCCACCCACCACTACCAGTAGCTCATCTGCTGATTCCTCACCTTCACTGGAATCTGTATCAGATATTTCACTTCCCTCTTCCAGTTCAACATCACCATCTTCAGCTAAAATCAGCTCGAGCTCCAACTCTACATCTCCACAACAGCTTCTAAAGTCATCTTTATCTTCTTCCAAATTCACCTCATTGGCTGAAATCAGTGAAGTCCCATGATCGAGATCTCTTATTCCATCCATATGTATACTCCAAAAAAGGGAATATTTAGACTCCAGGAATTCTTTATTCCTAAAATCTTATTCAACTACAATGGGCAGTTGTCATGTCCAGTCTAAATACGAATTGAAAACCCAGAAACGTTCAGTCCTGTAGAGAAGTATAAAAATTATCCATCATGACCAGATCCAAATCAAACCACAAAATAAAGCGATAATAATGAATAATCATAATATTCCCTAACCTGGCGAAAAAGGGTGTAAAAGCTTTCTGATTTTGCAAAGAAGGAAAGAAAGAAAGCCAAGGCTAGTTAATAGGATCTTTCATGCTCTGTAACAATGAGTAGGATAATCCACGGAGCAGAAAAAAGCCCTAATCTTTCATGCTCGCACCGTCAGTTACAACAGTGAATTCGAGCGCAACAGTGAAGATCATAGACCAATAAAATAAAATACGGAGTAGAAAGTAAAAAAAGTGGCATTTTCAAGATAACAAAGTGGCGAATTCGAGCAGAAAAGAAGGGAAAATTGTTGATGTTTTTTCCAAGTTGGGAAAGGAGCTACAAAATGACACGCAATATGTGCAAGTTTGCATACTATGGCGTCAACGTGTACAAGTCATTTGCATTTTGCTTGCCTTTTTTGCAAGTTGGATGTTTGGGATCATTAATTTATGGGAAAACTGTCGAATAGATTCTCGAACTTTCATTAAAAGGTCAATTAAGTCCTATAGGAAGTTCTATCCGGCCGTCACGATTTGGGGCGGTTCCTGATGGAATTTTTTGATGAAATTTTTTGAGCATCTTATTCATCAGGTCTAGTTTACTCATACCAAATGTCAACTAAAAATTCAATCGGGTACACATTCAAATTAATTCGTGAAGATAACTGCGCATTTTTGCGTTCTCGAATTAATTTGAATACATTCCGAATTGAATTTTTAGGTGAAATTTGGAATGAGTAAACTAGACTTGATGAATAAGATGCTCAAAAATTTTCATCAAAAAATTCCACCAGGAACTGCCCCAAATCGCGACATCCGGACAGAGTCTCCTATAGAAGGACTTAATTGACTTTTTATGAAAGTTCGAGGACCTATTTGACAGTTTTCCCTTAATTTATGGAAAATTTACTTTAAATAATACCAATTATTCTTTGAACCAATAATAATACAAACTTCGGAAATGACTTTTAATAATACCAACTATATGAATGTAAAACAAAAATAATATGGAGTCATTTTTTGACAAAAAATCCGATCATTTAAGACAACAAAAGCTAATGACAATCCATCAAATAAATGATATTTGCAAATATATTCACTAATTAGCTATTTTTATATAAGTTTTTGATGAGTTAGATGGTTGATTTTTTAGTGAAAAGATGCCCTATATCATTTGTGGTCTATATTCAAATAGTTGGTATTATTATTAAAACTTATTTTTAAGGGAAAAGGGGCAAATAAGCCCTCGAACTAATTAAAAAAGTGCAAATAAGCCCTTTTGTAAGAGGTTCTGTCCGGTCGCCGTCATTTGGAGAGATTCCCGGTAGAGTTTTTTGATGAAATTTTTTGAGTATCTTCTGCATTAAGTCTAGTTTGCCCATAACAAATTTCAGCTAAAAATTCAACAGGGAAGGCACTCAAATGATTTTCCGAAATATACTGTGTTGTTTAACTACGCAGTTATCTTCAAAAATTCATTTGATTGTCTTCCCGATTGAATTTTTTAGCTGAAATTCGATATGAGTAAACTAGACTTAATGAATAAGATGCTCAAAAAAACTCATCAAAAAATTCCACCGGGAACCTCCTCAAATGACGATGGCCGGACGGAACCTCCTACAAAAGGGCTTATTTGCACTTTCTTGGTTAGTTCGAGGGCTTATTTGCCCCTTTTCCCTATTTTCAAAGTACGTATTATCATTGGTTCACGGAAGATAGTTTGTATTATTTAAAGTTATTTTACCTTAATTTATTTGTTAAATGGGGTGAATCTCAAGATATACTCCCTCCGTTCTCTAATACTTGTCCTTCTTTCCATTTCGGGATGTTCTCTAATAGTTGTCTCCCTTTTTATTTTTAGAAAGTTTTTCATTAAATATACCTCTATACTCTCATTCTCTTTCCCATTTTTCCATTCTCTTTTCCACTTTTTCATTTAAACACAACTCACTACACCTTTTACACTATCTCTATTATTTTCCTCTTAAAATTTGTGTCAAACCCTATAGGCAGGGGCGGCCCTAGGGGGTGCAGCAGGGGCGGGCGCCCTAGGCCAAAAAAAAGTGTAAAAAATTTAGGCCCAGCCTTAAGGCTTTGTATTAATAGTGAGTAGGTTGAGTTTTTATGCCATATCCACTAATTTCATGCGGCATAGGGAAAAGAGTTTTAAAGGCAAAAAACATTTTTTTCTAAAAAAAAAAAAAACAGGACTCTCCGTTGGGCTTGTGCCTATCACTGAAGCGTCATTTAGGCCCTCACTCTTTCAAAGTTCTAACCTCAATATTCTAATTCTTCATTATAAACTTCTATGGGTCAATACTCAATAGATCATATATAGTGGATACATCAACTTCTTAAGCCTTTTATCATTCATAATCAGAACATAGGATTCTAACTCCTGATAACCTTGAGTCCTCTATATCTTTTATTACTCTTATGTCCTTGTATATTTTGCATTTATGCTCTGCCTTATTTCAAAATCAGTTATCATAGCTTTTCACCCTTTTTAGTTTTCATTGATTTTACATTTTTGTTGATTAGTCACCTAGTTTTTGACTTATTGATCGTGAAATCCCGTGATAGTTTTAAGTGTAACAAAATTTTTTATACAAATTTTGATTAAAATTGACTTATTGATCTTGAGTAAAAAAATGCATTTTCATTAAATTTATAAATATAATAAATTTCAAGGTGTAACTAAAATGTTCTCTATTTGTAATCTTACTTGCTTAATACAATGAATTATAAAAGTGTTTTATTTACTATACAATTTTTGAAGTATTATTGTTATGCATTAGATTAGACAAAAAGGAAATTAATATTTTTTTAAAAATTAGGCTCATTATAAACTATTTGCCCCTAGGCCTTGAAACTATCAGGGCTGCCCCTACCTATAGGGACATCTAATAGAGAACGGGTGGAGTATGATAATTGATGACTTTATGTGTGGATGATGAAATTATAAAACCGCAGTAAAATTACGGAATATCTACTTTACAAATAAATTTTATTGATAAAATAAAGAAAAAATATGTGTGAAAATAATAAAGTTGATCTACTATATAAATAAAGTCAAATTGTTTAAAGTGTGACGTCAATTTTAGTTATTTCAATTAATACACTGTTTAATGTGCAAAATTAAATAATACGTGTTCGATAGAAAAATGATTTAAAAATGATTTATCGAATTGATAACTTAAAAGGTATGGCTTCTTACTCTTGCCTATTTTTAAAAAAGTTATCACCAATTCAATCAACTAATACGTCTACGTAATAACAATGAATTACGTAGTATCATTGAACCAATCAACTATTTCATGAAAAGCTTAAGCAATAAGCATAGTCTACTTAGGCTATGTTTGGTGAGCCAGATCAGCCCATAATGAGCTGAAATAATTCAAATTCATTCATTCCTTTTTAGAGTAGCCTTGTTTGGACAAATGACTTCAGTGAGCTGAATCTTAAATATAGAGGCTGAAACAAAACGTTAGGTAATCAAACGTTTCTATTCAGCTCATGCATTAAACAAATGTGATTCCCAAATCATCCCTGTCGCCTTTAATGATGCTTTTAATTTCAAAATTTGATCCCATCTCACAACTCCAGAAACTCATCTCTTCCTATACAGTATTGACCTTTCTCATATCTTTTTCGTTAATTAGTTGCAACTAATATTTAAGCCTTTAAGGCATGTATTTTACTTTAATTTGATAATTTATATCATGATGTTGTCAGTCGCCTAATTTGGTTAGAATTACATCCAGCAAACAAACTTTGAACTCATCATCCATTCATAGTGTGAATCAGAGTAATACGGATTATACAGACGACGTGGGATGAAGTTTTCGGTTTTCACAACCTGATGAGAAAATTTTGCTGCTCATGCTTTGGAATTCCATACTATATAATAAGGTCATCATATATCAATTAATAATTATTTTTATATGCTATGTATCTTAAATAAGTTAATTTGGATGGGATGTATATGCATATGTGTTGTATAATACTACTCGTAATATTTAGTAAAAATACAAAAATCATTATAATTTTTTTCTCAAGTAATAAATTGGATGTCCTATAATGTAATTGTATATTTTTCAGATACCTTTTCAGCTCTTTTTGCCAAACGAGTTTACTTCATTCAGCTAATAGTTCAGATTGAGCACTTTGAAATCAGTTTCAGACAGTAATCTTAAATTCAGACTATAGCCTCTAATTCAGACATTAGCCTCCAGCTCCAGTTAATTGTGCCAAACATAACCTTAATTAGTACTATAAAAACATGCCGATATATGTTTGGGAGTTTAGGATGAAGGTGAGGAAACTAGTCTTCTTATTTTATAGTAAATTTAGAAAACTGAGTCTTAATTAGAAGCAGTAATAATCAAAATTACCTATAAGATATGACGAATTTAAATACTTAAACTGATTATTCATTTTAAATTGAGTTTAAATGATTACACAAATGGAAGGTCATCATTTCTCACATGTCTTCCGCTCCCTCTATAAACCAACTCCCAAACACAACTTAAAATTATAAAGTGCCGGAACATAATACAAAAAGTAGATAAAGAAGAAAATTAAACAGAATAGGACTCTTTTAGTAGTTTAATTTGTGATTTTGTATCGATTAATCGCAATAACAAATTAATTGTTGTGATAGTCAACGTGATAATCATATGTAGGTGGATGTTTATCGTACCAAAAGAGAATGGTAAAATAAAATGTATAAGGAAAAGATATTTAATGGAGAACAGAAAATAGCATAAAACTTCTAATACGAAGTATATGAGCCCGTTTGGCAGCACTATTTTTCGGCTTATCAGGATTATCAGCCAACTTTTTCACCAAACACGTAACTTTTGCTTTCGCGCACTGAATTGTGTAATAAGCATAAAAAGTAAGGTTGGAGTTACTTTTCTGGCTGTATTGGCTGAAGTTACTGTAGATGACCATTTTAACTATTTTTACATATAATTTTTTCTTTGTTTTATTAATGAAATAAATTTTAAAAATATTTTTTTCTTAAATCAGCAGAATCAGCCAATGCAGCCACTTTAGCCAGAACTTCATAAATTTGAGCAGAATCAGCCAAAACAGCCGATTTTCATACTACCAAACGGGCTCTATATATAAAAGAAAAAAACATCTAAGGGAGGACAGTAAAGTGGCCCCAAATAGGGAGTAGAGCAACTAATTATTTGCTTAGAAGAGCAAATAATTAAAAAAATGAAGAAAGACTGGCGTGTGAAACAGCAGAGTTGTTTTTTTTTATTCATACAAAAAGGAAATGGGAGTATATGACTCCGATATTGGGAATAATACATATTAACTCCTATTAATGTATTTACACAAGGTTTCAGTCATATCCATCTAGGACAATTTCGTAAGTATTTTCCTTTGTAAAACAATTTCATTGTCCAGAGTACCTAAAATTGTGTCACATAACGTTGTCAGCCTGTTATACAGTGCACATTGAACCCGTTTGAATTGCCTTACATTCATTTGACCTTGACATAGTAATACGTAGTATGTTAATGGTGTTGTCCAATATGTGAAATCCTCTTGACTTGGCCTTCAAAAAAATGAACATAGCAAACATGTATGACCATAAAAATAAACACGATGTGTCGATGTCGTCATAGATCCTAGCCTTATGTTTCAAACAGAAGAGAGTATTTGTGTGTTATTTGATATTCATGTTTGATGACTTGATAACAAATGATTGTGTTTATTTCTGTTAGATTTACCCAGGTGTAAGTGTAGTTTTACTTCCCCAAGTCAACAAAACCAGTGAAGGATAAACCGATTCATGAACAGATTTATACACAAACTTTATATCAAAAGAGAAGACCAACATACATGTCATGATTGTGTACTTCAATAGTTATGTTTACTCAAATTTCTACACTTTTGTATCCCAATGTTAAATACAAGAAAAATGTACAATTAGTATTACAACTACCAAATATTAAACAGAGATGAAGTCTGACTTAAGCAACAAGCGTACCTAACTTAGGATATGCTTATTCTTTTAATTTATCTAAATCATAGTGTTAAGTAACAAGCCTCTACTGACATGCTTAATAGACACCACAGATTTATGTTCGTTCTCTAAACTCACACTTTTGTATTTTTTTTCCCTCCAGTGGGGTCTGGGGGAAGGGCTTGGGGGACTTGGAGTAATCAGGGCTGAAACTCACTCCATTGAGTTTCTAACTCTTATGTGCCTAGCGGATTTCAAACTTGAGACCTCTCACCAGGCACGGTAACCTCACAATCAGCTGAGCTGAAATGCTTGGTTAAACTCACAGAAAATATTTCATTTTCCATTTCATATACTGGTTGAGCCTTTCATATGTCGTCTTAGAAGATGAGGAAGATACTACCGACAAGGACATGAGCGGTGGCAAACTGGTAGTTGTTGTGTTGGCAACACAAAAATATGGAATATAAGTTAATTAGGGGAAAATTTGTTGTGATTGGAATTTTATATTTCAACATATATTTAAACTCAATGGATGTTATAAACTCAATGGCTATTTTCTATTTCAACCAAGTTTTTAATGATAGCAATTGACGAGCAGTCATATATGGCTCTATCTTCATTGCTTACACTCTCCTTCTTTGAGCCCTACCCACAACATAAACCTTTGCTGATTTTTCTTTTTATGATTAGAGACTTTGAAACAACACTGCTATCATAACTTAAAATCATAGTAATTTAATTAGGCATTATCCATTCACAATTTATATTCAAAATCAACTTATAATGAAGTAATCTAAGTTTTGTCCAAAACTTATCATTGAACTCAGCTCTATTATATTGTCGAACTAGTGCATCTAATCAAACATTAACTGCATTTGTTAGTAGTGCCAATGTGAATTTGGACTGCTAATTAATACTCCGTAGTTTTGAGTGGGAAAATCACAATAAAAAATATAGTGACCAATGACAACCCAAATTACTTAGAATAGAAATGGATGACAAATTTTGGAACTGCAATCTAAAAGGGGAAACTCATTCAGACGCACACAAACACAATTCATAAACACATGATGCAAAAACAACATGAAAAGTGGCAAACTTTAGCTTTTAGAGTCCTTGGCTACATTGTTTTATCATCAACCCTATCAAGCTATCACCTAGACTTTCTACCATACACATGTCATTGAATTAGCTATACCATACTCATAAAAGGTGGTGCAAAATTTAGAAAAACACTTATTTGGAGAAGTGTTTTTTGGTTGAAAGCTATTGGTGCTTTTGGTTGACAATAGTGCTTTTAACTTTATAAAAGGTTGAAAGCTAACATTGATGATTTTTTTGAAAGACTAACATTGATGATTTTAAATACATTATTATTAAAGTCATTATGTTCAAATAAAAGCATCAAATTTATTGCATTTAAAATGTAGCATCAATTCTTTACCTGTTTTAATGTTAATCCTATTTTTTAAAGGAAGATTTACCAAAACCGATTCAAACCATTGCCATTTTCAAAAAATCCATAAATAGGAGTTGTTATTTTTTTATTGGACAAAAATACCCTTATAGGATTGAATCCCCCCCCCCTTTTACTTGTATTACTTATTTATATGTATCTTAAAGGAAAAATCAAGATAAATTGTTTTGCTTGGTTTTAAATTATTGGTGATTTTGAAGACAAACATTTGTATATTATTTGTGATTGTATTCTTATTTAGGCTTTAATTGGTTCTATCTGAACTCAGACCGAACTCGAACAATTTTTTTTGTAACAGGGAGGCTTATATTGATAATAACACAAACGATAAAGGAAACACTTCTAGCCACCGACTCTTGAAACAGCTAGAGAACCAATCACCTAAGCAGAGCAATATGATTCGCCGATCATGTATTGGGTCTAAATGAGCCTAATGTGACCATAGAAAAACCCTCATCACCCCCACCTAATACAAGAGTCCGGCGGAACAGAACAACAGTAAAAGAAAAAAACATAGTTTGATCGAAAATAAAAAAGACAAAAACAGCAAAAGAATAGAAATTCAAATGCATCCTTATGCTTACGAGAAACCTCCATCGAGCTCTCACGGCCCTAGACGCACAATTCCTCCATGGCGGAAGTTCGGGAGGGGACGAATCATCACCTCTTCGTCGTCTTTCGCCCGTAGAAATCAACTCTAACCGAATATAATAAACCTTCCTTCATAATCGGAGATTGTATTAACAATTTTCAGGTTTAAGAAAAATTCGATCAACGATGTTTGACGTACCCACTTTGATACCTATCTTATATCCACCATGTTTGTGAAATGTTTATTTTTTGTCTGTGAATTCGATTCACAGTGGGTATAAAAGTGAATTCGATTCAGGTACAAAAGTGAATATAAGAGTGAGTAAAAACATCATTTTTAAATTACATTTATTTATATTGGACGGTTGCCACCTTTAATTTAAAGCATTTCTTTTATCTTGTGTCAATCTACTTACATCCGAAGGAGGTCCTATTAATGCACATCCTGCTAGCTGTCTCCTTCACCGAGGCCTGCGCTAAACCTTCGGTCTGCGTCTCTGGCCAGCTACTGCTATTCTTCATCAAACTCTTCACCTTCTCCAGGTTGGGTTTTTATTTCATCCTCCCCCAATTCTTCTTCAAGTTTCTGTGTAGGAAAATCCATCACATATCAAGTTGGTTTACACCAAAATATGTATATGTGACTAATATTTATGTGGGAAGTGTATATGAACTGTATATCTCTTTTGTAGAGATATTTCATCATTCTATTGAACAATCCACTAACTATTGTATATTAAACATTAAATCAACCCCAATGACTACAAATTCAACAGCAATCCACTTACGATTGAATATCAAACATTAAATCAAACCTCATCCAGACATAGCGTTAGAGGTAGTTCTCTCCCTTTAGAACTACTGGTGTAAGAGTTAGGCTGGAACCGGAATATTCAGGCGGCCTGATCTAAATTCCGGTGAAGGAATCTCTCCCCAACAACTTTGTTTCTTGTGATCTTATTATTGCAGTTGTATTTTTTTATGTATTTATTTCCTCAAAATTGCATTACTTGAAGTAGCAATTCATTCTTCTTGCAGAAAGTGCTGGAAATTTGAGGGCTTTGTTGATCTCCTAACTACACAATACTCGGTATTAGAATACATTTTATTGGAAAAAAGAATATAGAAAAGAGCTAAAAAGACAAAACCTATACAAAACACACTTACGAGGATAAAATTTGAAAAATGAGAGTGTTGACCTTCTAGCAGGTCACTCTCTGAACAAATGAGAAAAGTGATAAAGTTTGAAAATTTTCATATGTGTAACAATATTTTATTAGAAATATAGATAATTGTAAAATATATCAAATCTATAAATAATTAAAAATCATTCAAAAAAAATAAATAATAAAAAAACATCAAGTTATTAAGTTATAATATTAAAATATGAAAGATATAATTTTTTTAAAAATTTCAACAATAACAACAACATCCAAGCCTTGGTCCCAAAGATATTGGGGTTGCCTAACAAGAATCGATACATGATATCAGAGCCAAAAGGAAAAGAAAGATAAGAAAGAATATATAAAAAAAGATTTAAAAATTCAACTTATTCCAAAAAATGGAAAAATTATTTGTAACATTCAAAACGAAAAAGTTACATAGTTTCAAAAAACATTTTTTTATTGGATATTTTTTTTGCATTTTTTCATCTGTAATTTTTACACTAATAATTTTTTCATGATTATTATTATTAACTATTTTTCTGAGTATTATAGATTTTGACATTTTCAGTTCATTTACACTTTTTTAGTTCTTAGGCATTTTTTCAAATGGTATCCTTTCTTGAAAAAAGTTACATAGTTTCAAAAAGCATAAGGAGTATTTCTTTATATTGGATATTTTTAAGTTTTTTTATTTTCTCTAATTATTTTTAATTTTTAAAAATTAATAATATTTTTCCATGATTATTATCATGACCTATTTTTCTGAGTTATTATAGATTTTGACATTTTCAGTTCATTTACACTTTTTTAATCTCTTATGCATTTTGTCAAATTTATCTATTCTCTCATTTTTTTCTTCAAATGAAAGTCGAAAACCGGTAAAATGGCTTGTAAAATGTTTATATGATACAAAGTACTTTTGTTTATATAGGATTTTAGCCTTTTAGGTGATGAGCTTAAAGTAGCAGAAGCGTCTAGTTGGCCTTTTTCCAAAAAGAGTACCCTCCCCGTCCTGCAAAACTTGGCCGAACTTTCCCTATTTAGCCGTCCCAAAAAACTTGACATTTCTTATGAAGCAGCAAATTTGTGATTTATATTATTCCTCTCTCCTCATCACAAATCCCAGTCACACAATATTATGCTTTCTTATTATTCTACGCGCAATTCTACTTCGGCCAACTTTTATGAGATGGAGGGAGTTCAAAATTTGTTTGTTTTATGGCCTTTGAAATGTTGGGATGCATCATGGATGCCTTTATGTTCGTCCACACGTGTGTAGAGATTACGTGTGCAGTCTTGTAACAATACATCGGGCTCGTGAGTGCCCAACTGCTTTGTTGGCTGCTCCTTTAGTTGACATGACTCATTTCATTCCTAGCTTTCATATGATGATTTTCTCAAGGGTCGCTTTTATGTATCACAGTACAGACAAAGCGGTCTTCATGTTTCTTTTGACATGTTTTTGGGTCTAAAGCGGAAATCAATTTGGTCATAGTGACTGGGAGATTGAAGTGAAGGTCTTAGAGATGGGATGCTTTTTATCAACACAAAGGGACAGTGGTGAAGATGGGAGAGGTCCAACAAGAATGGGTGAAGTTTCCGTTTTTGTCCCTGGACTAAGGATTCCTAAGCCAGTGGATATCTTTTCTGCACTTGACAACGATGTTTCTAAGAGTTTACTAGAGCGCCTTTCTGCACTCAGAACCCGAATTGTTGTGATGGCAGAGCAAGAAGGTATCTTGGTTACCCGAACAAGAAGGAAATCTGCCGCTCAACATGGTAATAAGTCATTCTAAAGGAATAGGTTATGTTACTTTTTTTCCTTTTCTAAGAGGGTGTTGTCATGTTGATGCATCAGCAGCTGTTTTCTGCAGGAGGATCAATGCTGGGTGATCTTCTGCAGGCTCTCGAGGATTACTTGCCAGTTCTTTTGGGATTGGTTAAAGATGGTACCCAATTTGGGGTATTTCTGATTTAAACATAGACTTAAATATGTTTTTCTTCCCTGCAAATATAGCATTTTTATAGGTCGCCATGATTTTTTGTTACCCGCCCTCCGTGTTATTTATCCCAATTTCTTTTTTAGCTCCTCCACCAACCTCCGTTTTTAAAATTGATGTGGCTCTCGGAAGTCGGAAACTCGGAACTCAGTCGTGTAATTCTTAAGTATGTTCATTGACCCAAACTGAAAAAACAGTACTGTGAAGTCCATGCTGGAGTTTTGTAACAATGCTGGGAAAGGATCTTAAACAGAAATGCTATATTTGTAGCAGATTGAAAACATATCTAAGCTTTAAAGTAAATGCGTTTCAGATCAAAGTTAGTCTCGATGAAGTTTTGCTTGCTTGGAAATCGCAGGTAGCCCTCTACAATATAAAGTACAATTTTCTTGGGTCAATCAAGAGGATGATGCAGAGGTCTGACTATTATTTAATGCATGTTATATTGTTGTTATTGCGAGAAGTATCAGTCGTACTGTGTATAATTTATTGTTCATGTTTCAGGAAACTGCAATATTCAGTGGTTGGTATGAAGTGTTGTCTGTTTTGCACTTGATGGCAATGCTATCATTATCTCAAGCTAATTTGTTACTACTCCCTAGAGCATCTCTTGACGGCTATCAGCTAAAAGTATCGGAAGGTGAGAGCATTGAATCGGTTCACTTTGTTTTTCCATATTTAGTATCAGCTAAAAGCACATGATACTTAGTATCAGCTAAAAGTACATGATATGCATGCTGCCCATTAAGCCTAAAAATACAAGCTTCATCATCATCATCATTACCCCAGTGCCGCAAAGGCTCCCACCTACAGTGGGGTAGGGGGGGGGTCAGATGTATGCAGCCTTACCCCTGGTGAAAATCGCGTAAAATATTGTCTGGACTGATTACTGCTTAGTGAGCCACTTTGCTTTATTTCATCATATTCCCAAGCCTAAAAGTACTTCTAGTATCAGCTAAGAGTACAAGCCTATTTGACTTGTTGTGTCATATCTTAGCATCACTTGATAAAGCGGACTAATATGAGAAACTTTGGATGTGACTTCTTTTTCAATATTTCTATCATAACAAGTACAAGATATTAGTTTTCTACTTCATTGACCTGCTTGGTTGTATTTTTCTGAAATTCACTTTTTCCCTTCCATTATTCACTAAATTTGAAATGCTGATGCTTTGAAGCTTTTCATCACACCCTATCTCCACTATCACATCCTCTCCAATGTTCCAAACTGCACAATGGAATCACGACTTGAGGCGGGCCTGGTTGATATCCTGGTAGTTCGCCATGAAAGGCATAACTAATTTACGCCATACAAAGACCTATGCCTTTTATGGCTGAGCTGTACAGTACAAGGCATTCACAATATGGCACAAGCGAGGCTTACACAATAGTCTGCCTATTAAATTTTTAAATGTAATAATTGGGCCCAGATATATTTCAAACCCAAAATTTTTTTGAATAATTGATCAATATTTTTCTCTCTTTGTCGAAGAAGGTGTTCTCTCTTTGTTACTCCATAAGTATATTTTAACTTGTGTCCGCCTATCCCTCTGGCGTCGACAATGGTGTCTTGTGTTCAAGTATCTCTCCCACACCGCCTATCCCTCTCATCTCTCTGCATTATTATTATTACTTTAAAGCTCGATTCCATTTTATTAGTTACTCCCTCCGTCCCATATAAAGGTTCCCACTTTCCTCTTTCTCTCCCACATTTTTTCATTTTTCTTATGGTTAGTATTAAATAATTAAAACAAATAAATGTTCCAACTAAACCTTTACTGTTAGTTTGTCAAACAAATATTGAATGTGCACTTGTGTTTCATCGCACATTTCTATTCAGACTTACTGTCACATCTTGATTTGTTAGTGCTATTGGTCTAAAAGAATACATGCATTTATTGTTAAGGAAAAACGTGTTAAGCCCATACAGAGCACAAATGTTTTCATGATTAGCCATGCACCCATGTCATTTTTTCATTCTGATTCGTTACTACTGTATTATGAAGACACACTTGGCACACTATGGTTCAGCTGAAAGTAAAAAAAAAAATTCATTGCTTTTATTGAATAAAAATAAAAACCATATATGGATTTCCTTCTTTTATTCATATTTTTAGTTAAAACATTGCCTATGTGAATGTTATAGAAAGCAGACGAACATCTGTTGATATATTTCTTAAGGCAGCGGGATACCTCGATTGTGCTGTGAAACATGTTCTTCCTCAGTTTCCCACTGAACTTAGGTAATATGTTATTTGTAATGTAATCCATGAATTGTGATTGAATGATTATTCTTATATTTGGATCTCCTTCTGATTATCATTCTCTAAATTTAGGAGAAACTTACCAGTTGACCTTGCTGAAGGAGTGCTACTAGCACTGTGCCTCCAAGCATTAGGGCAGGTATTTGCTCACATTTTCCATTTTTATATGATTTTTTGAATTACTAACTACGTATATCCTTTCTAAAAAAAACTATGTATATCCTTAAACTGGAGAAGTTTTACACATGCAAGAGCCTTTACATCTTGTGAACTAATTTTCTTATTTTTGCTGTATATATATTTTAATGGTTGGTTAGGCTGTTGATATACAACTTGGGCTTGCGATTGACAGTGCTAAGGCAACTCTAGCCGTCAAAAGAAGGCTTGCATGTGAGATGGTAAAATATTGGCAGCAGGTAGTGAGACTACTTCATGAAATATAAAGTAGATATAAGTAACACTATTAATGGTCATTATATGATTTAGTATTGAGTATCTAATTACCAATTTCATAATAAATACCCCTGATGATTATATTGCTATTCATTATTGACTCTTAAATAATTTTATCTATTTATGGGCCAACTTGTGTCATTTCTAATATAAGTTTTGATTTAACCCAATTAAAAGTTTTCATTTCATACTCACTATGTGATCCCATTTAGAAGTACTGAATCAACAATTTCCCTATAAATACCAATGATGATAGTACAATTCAGCTTGGGCTCCTAAACGTTTATATTTGGTCATATTCGGTCATATATGTACTAAAGATCTGATCCAACCAACTAACACTCTTCGTACTAGTTATGTAGCTAAATAAAAGTATTGAATCATCAATTCATTCCTAATCATACTGTAATTATTATTGACTCTTAAACGTTTTAATTGTTGATCATCCGGAAACAGTCTTTGTGTGCTTTAGTATAGGGGTAAGGATGTTTTCTTTTGGACTAAAATTTCTTGGTCTAGTCTGGTCTGGTCTCTCTATATTTTATAACTATGGAAGTCTGGTCTGCGCTGATCTAGGACTGAAAACAGTCCAAAAGAAAACATTCTAAGGCTGCGTACATCCGACTCCCCCACCGTAGGTGAGAGCCATTGAGGCACTAGGGTAATGATGATGATGAAACGTTTTAATTGTTTTTATGTTTTTATTGGTGAAATTGTGTCATATCTGTACTAAAAAAACTAATCCAACCCAACTAACACTCTTCATACTTATTATATGACTTGAAAAAAAGTACTGAATGATCAATTTCACAATGAATTAATATCCCTTAATGTCTCTTAATTGTCTGAAATCTAATTTACCCCAATAAATAGGTAGGGTAACTAAATCTGTTCTACATAAATTCATATGTGAAATAATGAAAAATCTTGGTCATCCAATGATCTTCACTTTTTTTATTCACAGATCTCCATTTTTTTCATCTCTATACTCTGAAATTGACTGCTATATGTTCTGCATCTTTTGCAGGCCCAAGGTAACATCATGAATCTTCCACTATCCAATGGATGGGGGGAAAAGCATCGGCTTTTTTTGAAGTGGAAATTCATTGAAGCTAAGGTATATTATAACCCTTTTATGCTCACAATCAAATGATATGCATTCTTCCTCTTGTTGTATCAATGAGATGCTTTACCAGAATATCGGCTGTTGTTTTAGCCAGGGGTGGGCCAACGTGTACAGGAACCGCGGGATGGTTCGGGTAATACAGGATTGGGTGGGCTTTTACAACCGGAATGTTTATATCCAATCGAAGTGTTCTTTTTCCTTTATTTAGAAGTGGTATTGTATTCACAGAGGGATCATAACTTGGTTTTGAAACGATATCAATTTTCCTTATTTCCACTAGGCGGCAGCATACTATTATCATGGCCTAATTCTTGATGAAGGGAATACGGAAAGATCTCATGGAATGGCTATTGCTGCTTTGGATGCAGCAGATGAGTATCTCAAAGAAAGTAAAAAGGCTTGTGAAGATTTCAACGCAGTTGTTCCTCTCTCTAGGTAACTCTTCAAATGCCACCTACCCACCTCTCAAAATTCATCCTGTACTTCCATCAGCTGCTTATTTTACTTTTATATCTTCATTAATATTCAAGTCAATAATGGTAGACTTCGAAATTTATTTTTTATGGTTATGATTATACTATAGTATCTATAATGGATGCCAACGTGAATCATTGGGCTTCTTTTTACTTTAATTAACTAGGGAGTACAGATTATCGAGTTTACACTTAGTAATCTCTTTTCTCTCTGGTTGTGGGGGAGTACAACAAAAGTGGAAAGTATTGAACTTTTTTCTAAATGGTCTCTCGTATTCACACAGAAGCCCGTCTCTATGGGGAACCATGAAGTACCTCTCCGAGAAGATTCCCAAAGACACTTCTAGTAAAGGGCGAATCAACAGGGATCTGCGCTCTTATGAAAAGTAAGTGCTACTGTTTTAACGATTCCATAATCCACCCCCCCCCCCCCAAAAAAAAAAAGAGATATGGTCCGTTTGACGTCTTTTAATTAAACTCCCTCTGTCCCTCTTCTCTGCATTTTCAACGCGATTTTCATCCGGAAACAGTCTCCCTGTGCTTTAGAACAGGGATAAGACTCCGTACACCCGACCCCCCTTACCCCACCTAGGTTGGAGCCTTTGCGGCACTGGGGTAATTTTGTTGTTGTTGTCCCTCTCTCCCCATAAAAAAGGAGTTATATTTCATCTAATGAAGAATCAATCCCAACATTAGAGCATTTCGAATGGGGTGAAGTGAGTTGCTAGTGTCTATTTTTGAAAATAAAAAATAAGATTTAATAGTTGATTTTAATACTTGATAGGAGTTGATACTAATGAGAAATATTTTAACTATTGAAGGGAATGGCTAAAATGAGAGATGGCATGAGTTCATTGTTGTGAGGCATCTGACTTGTTTTCTGGTTGTATTTATATATTAAATAATGTACGTCCATGCACGGGCAGAGCCAATGGGTCAGGGTGGGCAGCTCAACACGTAGAGCACTGAAATACCCCGATTTGATATATTATCACCCCCCGTAACTCATTACGAGTAAACATTTATGACTTCTAGGAAATCATCACCATTTGAACATGAAATGGGTAAAATTTGACGCGTAGTATAAGTTATAATCTCAATTTTTTAAATGAAGTCTATTTTATTCATTTGCTACATAAATTTTGTAATATATATTACATACCACCTCCGCTCTTTTTAGTTACAACATTTTGAATTTTACACTATTCACGTACTCTACGTTGACAAACGTGAAAATGAAAACATTGCAACTAAAAAACGGATGAAGTATATAGCAAATCAACAACTCTCTAGGCCTAATGTAAAGTTTAAACTAACATTTATCCAAGCTACAAATGAAATATTCAATTCAAGTATTGTTTGAAAAGTATCCGACCTTTTGATACCGTATATAGTTGATTTTTTATTACTCTTTTTCTGCCCTGCCACTGCGTGCACACTTGTGTAATGCATGAGATTCAATAGAAACTAGTTTGTTTTGTTGAAACAGGACTACTTTTTTGTGATTTTCTGACACTTTTTCTTGGGACAATGGGTGTATATAATTTTGAGCCCTCAAAGGGCATTTTTGTTAAAGCTAGTGCATAGATTGATTGCACACAAAGCTCTTGTTCCTAATAGATTGTCTCTATTAGGAATAGAACACAAAACCTCCAGCAAGCAAGAAAAGGTGTTTCACCACGACACGTCTACTCAAGTGGCATGACTGGATATTCATCTTCTTCTTTCATTCATCCGTTTCCCCTATATCCTTTTAATAAAACCTTGACTGGATATTCACCTTTAAGTAATTGCACTTCTACTGTAGAGTTATGGAGAGAGCACCACCATTGCCCGACTTTGCATTAGCCCTTAAACCAGATGACTATCATCTCCCTTCAGTGGATGTATCATGGAATCAAGAAACAACAAACTATTGATGGATCCATGAAAAATCAAAGGGTAACTTTTTTTTTGTTTTTGCAAAAACCTTGTAAATGCAAGTGAACAAAGGTAATGAGCTGACCCCTTTGATGTTGATGTTAATGATAATTTGTTCTTTGATCCATTTTTCGTGCGAAGATTTGGTTGGTTTGATTCTTTGTACAAGCAGAGTTCGCTTGTTAAACTTGGATTGAAGGAAAAGGTGCAGAGTGATGTATATCTTTGGCGGTAGACAAAAGATTGCCTTGGTTTCTTTGTCCAGATTGAAAAGAAAGTACTGTTGCAATTGTTTGATAGGATTTTTTGTTCAAAACATTATGATAAAGTTCTTGATTGTGTGAACCGTACAACGGTACAACCAAAGATTATACGAATATTATTCATAAACTTGAGCACATGTGTAATCCATATAATAATAAATAATTATATCTATCCCGCTAAGATTTGGACAAGATATGACACGGTCACACGGTTATGTTATTATTGAAATTATTATAAAACATGAAACAATAATCAATTGGAACTACATAAAATACTGAACAGGCCCAATAGGGCATGAGAAATATTTAGAGCGATGAGTGAAAAAATGAAAGATATGTAAAGATAATGGAAATGGTGAGATGGAGGGCATTTTTATTTTATTTTTACATTCCCTATAAGAATGAGTAAAAACGTTTTGTAACTGTGAAATAAGAGCTGTGTTTTATATAAGAGTAATTATTGTCTAGCCGTGTTTTAAATAAGAGTAAAAATGCTTGATAACATCAAATTTTGATATGTAGTAGTTTTTTTTTTCGAGGGATATGTAGTAGTAATTTCTTCAACAGTTCAACTTAGAAAACAAGGGATATGTAGTAGTAATATCTTCAACAGTTCAACTTAGAAAACAAGGGATATGTAGTAGTAATATCTTCAACAGTTCAACTTAGAAAACAAAAGCATAGTACTCCGTATTTATTTTTGTTTCACAAATGTTTTCACTCATATTAAGAACAATTGTTTTTGCAAATTAGTTTTCCAGACTTTTAAGCCCTCTAATATTTTACATTACCGTTACTTTGGTATATGGGTGTGTCACCGTGTGTGGATCAGTCCGGTATTCATTCCTTGTTCCAAAAAAGGACATTTGTATTGGCCCGGTTTGACCTAGTAATTTTTTTTAAAACTATGCTTTTTGTGAAATAAATGCATTTTCAGAAAATTATAGTTGTGCACACCAAATATGTAGCTAATGTAAGCATTATAAACGCTTAAATGTTTTTATTACATACTTTAATTATATTCAAAAGATAAAGACATTATAGCATTAAATATGAACGTCGTAATGTACAATAGTAGAATAGAGTCTTGAACACATTGAAATTGAAACATTAGAAATCATCCGCAACGCAATCTTTACTCGTTTTGCACGAGTATTCGGTGCTTCGAAGACATTGTGCTTGATAATAATTCACAAAATTGAAAAAGTTTCTAAGTTTAGAGAGAGAATCTAGAATAAAATCAATAACATAAATAAATAGAGGAAATAACAATAGCTTACGGAGTATATTAAAGCCTATTTAAAAATATTATTGATATGACACTTATTTATAAAACATGAGTAATAATTACTATAATCACTACATATAGATCACATTTTTACAAACAATATTTATTTTAATAGTTTCTTTTTTATATGAGCATAGAATTAGCGGACAGATTTGGTATTTTTTAATTCTTTAAACGATAATTAATCAATTTCTCATATTTATAAAATGAAAATATAGTAATATTAATTTCAGTTTCATAAATATTTTATGAAATGCGCTTCCTGTTTGGATATCATAGGAGTCACAAGTCATGCGAGAAATAAACTTCCACCTCTCCCTCCCTCGTTCCTATACTACTTCTAATACCATAAGAGCTTGTATAATTTCATGACTTTGAATGGTGTTAAGCAAAAATACTAGGAATACACAAAATTAGTACACAATTCGCTTGAAAAATGACAGAATTTTATGTCAAAATGCATGTGTACAATTTGTGTACACTGTACAATTTGTGTACACATTTTATGTACACGGTACACCAGGTTCATTGTTAAATTACAATTCAGTACCCTAGATTTAACCTTTTCTTCCCCTGTACAACTCGTTTCAATCAACCACTCAACCAAATCACAATGTTTGAAATCCTTCTTTAGTCTTTACTCGTCTACATGCGTTCTTTTCCCATAATTGAAACTCCATTCTCTTTATGCAGTATTTCAGTCCAACCAAAACTAGTCTTTTCATCAAACACAACACCCCATGTTTACGAACTTACGAACAAAATAGCTCAAATATACAAAAGATGATCATCAACATACTCCGTATCTTGCATCAAGGAAAAAAAAAATACTTTGAGGAAGCAAAAGAAATCTATAAACATTTGCAAGAAAGAATGATGTTATTAGTCGAACACAAAATCTCTACTCACAATCTCAATGTACTCAAATGCGTAATCTCAATGTTTTACTTTCTCTTATCTCCTGTTCAGTCAGTATTTGAATGTTGACAGCCCTCCATGGAACATATTTGATCACTTATGTATAGGCTTGAATCAGCCATTCTGCATGCTTCGTGCAAGCTCATCTCCATGAGAAACTGAAGTTGCCGCCAAAACGTGAAAAACGCAATTTGTCCGATGCATGTTAACACATCAGGAATCAAACATCTGCATAGATCCCGCTCGTGGTTATGAGTTATTCTTGTTCAGCGCAAATAACCCTCTACACAAATGCACAAGCCTTACTGGAACGTCAGTTCACTGATTTTAATACAGGGTTTATGAGGGAATGCGGACTAGGTCTCTGTGCGTGTATGAATGTATTCCCTCAGTACCAAAATCACATTCTCATTACAGATTAGAGCGTTTAACAGATGTTAAGAGGTAACTCTTAATAATATGTAACATAGTATCAATAATTCAAATTTACACATAGAAACTATAATGAACCACGAGAACTGATTTTGAATATGATAAAAATTGATTTCTAATCAGAAAATAAAAGGTAATCATGTTTAACAAATAATAATTGAATGAGAAAATGATTCCAAACAGGGTAGTATATTTATACATACACATGTGCATACATATGCAAACACATACATATGTATTTAACACTACATTCAAATTGAGGGAATGACATAATAGGTGACCGGGTAACGTTTCAATCACCCTGTTGTCGCATTAAAAATATTCAATTTATCCAGATATTGACCAAGTCGTCCAATTCCTTCCCTCCAAAACCCATACAAACTGGCCCCTTAACATCACCCACTTAACTTGAGCCCGAAAATATAAAACAGCCGAAAGACTATATTAAGTCAGTATCCATAAAAATGCCAAAGAATTTTGTGAAAAAAATTCTTGCTTAACAGAAACAACTCTAAAAGATGGATGAATACTATTTTTCTTAACCATGTCAATTAAATGGTGGGATGAAAATGTGAAAAAACTCTTAAAATTTTGTTGGTATAATAGAGGCTGCATAAGTTCATACTTTGCCATTAGATTAATCAACTAAAAGCATCTCACATGTTACTTTTACTTTTTAGACTCCACAACTCTCTCCCTTCTACAATAACAATATTTGTCCCGACTAAAGTACATGCATCCTCTAAACTCTGTTTTGTTTCCACTGAGACAAATAGAACAGAGAGTACCATAGCAAAGCTAAGTTTCATAGAGCAATTGAAAAGAAAAACATGAAAAATATTCTCACAAGTTACTTTTATTTTTTGGTTTTTCCTTTTTCTTCTTTGGGGGGGGGGGGGGGGGTAGTTATTCAATAAAAAAAATTTAAAAAGATTATGCCTTACTTGGACGGTATCTCAGTATTGGTATTTCCCGCATTTCACGCCGAATGCACAGGTATTCGCCTAACAAGGCCATTATGGCAAACCCAGTGACATTCACAGCCCACCATGCCAAAGAGGAGGGCCAACCCCCATAGACAATACATATAAAAAGGTGTAGGATGTATAAGGTGCCAGAAAAATCCAAACACTTCTTTGCTCTCTCAATCAAAAACACTAAGATTCCAGCACTGCCAATGAGAAGAGTTGGGAGATGAAGCATGCAGGTTCAGATATTAGTTCAAAATAACCTTGGTAAAATAGTACAGCTTAAAATCCAGCATGAGAAACAACATCTTAAGAGTTTGTATTATTAGAGCTACACACGCATAAGATGCATGGTCAAGATGGTGGAGATTTTAGCCAGGAACCAAGAAACCAAGTTGAAAACCAATTAACTTTTAGTCAATGACAATTCAGACACTTGCACAAACAGTCTAATGAATTAAAAATGAAAGAAAAAAGAACTTTCTAGTCTCTTTTTATACCAAAATTAAAATAAAAATACTCCCTTTGTCCAAAAAAAGAAGATTGTTTTGAAACGTAACTTTTTACCCAAAGTCACATTTCAATAAAAGAAGCTAACTTTCAATGGATTTGATATGTACTTTCCAAAGAAAAGTGTTCCAACCGAGTTAAGTATTGTAATTTTAGTTACAAAATTACTACAGGTGTACTTTGACAAAAGTACTCTTGTTAGGGACCAAGGGAATGGGTAGGAAGGGAGAATGTAAAAGCAATGGGATACACAATATAGTGACCTGGAAATTTAATAACCCTGTACGACAGAACTCATTAACATAGACCACCAAGCTTACTATTCTAGCATTCATCTTTTAAGGAACTAATTACAGTTTCCCAATATCATTATTGGTGAACTTACATGAGAGCCACCAGGAGAAATTGAACGACAGCAAAGACATGTAACAGAAAATAAGCAAAAACAAAAAATATGTATAGCTCAAATCTCCATTAGATCAACCAAACAGCTTAAATTAAACACGTCAACCGGATCTTCAAATAGTTAAAAACAGTATAACGTTAAAAACTCACCCAACAATGGAGCTGAGAATAATCGATGCAATTACACACCAGCCAGTGACAGTGGCGGCAGTGATACTGGCGAAATCAAAGAAATAGACCAGGCTCATCCGGGAGACCCGAGTTCCCACTAGAACTCCCAAGAATATCCCCATCGTCAAGTAGTACAGACACTGAAGGCACACGATTTGAGCAACAATCAGCCAAGGATCCCACACTCCCGCCCCATAGAACATTTCTACTCCCGAACCAAAAGGTTTGGAAACCTAGTTCTTCAAATATTAGTCAAAATTGGCCCAAAAATAGAAGTTAAATAGATACTTATGAAAATCGAGATCACAGGAGAACGAAACCGGGACGGGCAAATAGGATAAGCTGATTGATTGAATTGTAAAACTCGATAGCTTCCGAGGGAGACAAATGAATTGGGAGAGGAAGCAGTTTTTGGCAATTGGTTGGCTACAAAGATTGCCACAGCGAAGAGCTGGAGAGGTAGACACGGACTTTGGGGATCAAAGGTGGCATCTTTGCACGCCCAAGTACTATTCGAATTTGGGTTCGAACTGGATGAGTATCTAATACTCCCTTGGTCCAATTGTATTTTAATTCTTAACAACTTTCTTAAATTGTCACTTTCATTTTAAAACATGAATTTGTACTTTGCTCATTTCTTACTCCTCTATACACACTTGGCAAAGTGAAGTAAGACGGAGTTAGTTGAACTCAAACTCAAACAGAACGACAAAAAATCAAAAATTGACTCGAAAAACTCATATTTTTATGTGAGCCTTTTCGAGCTCAAGTACTTGACGTTACTCGAATGGTTTTAGTAGAGTTTATAAAGTAATTAGTTTATCTCACTACCCCATTAGCCCATTCAACTTTAAACTTCACCTTAACCTCTTTAACATTATATGTGTGTGCACGCGCGTGTAATATACGGTACTTGAATGAGCTCATCGAGTTTTCGAGCTATGCTAAAACGAGCTCGAACTCGACTTAAAACTAAATAGTAAATACGAGTAGTTTGAGCTCAAATCAAGCTTCGTTCGAGTCGAGTACTTATCGAGCCATGGACCAGGTGGCCATTTACTACTTGAATATTTTGTACCCCTATACATGCCCCATTTTATCCTATCACCTTTTAATGATTTTGTAAGATGAATCACCTGTGATATTGACAAAAAGAATTTGTCTGTGTTACAAACAAAATTTCTAATTTCTATATGAGATAAGAACTCCAATGTAGTAGAACGTCAGAGAGAAATTCGAGTAATTTTAGGTGTTATTCATAGGCAAAATATAAGGTTTGGACCATATATAGGCTTGAAAATTTTAGGATTTTTAGCTAATGAGAAAGTGACAGGTCTTCCTTAGGAGCCTGAAGGGTTAAATATTGTGATAGGAAAAAACTTGTGGGGGAAAGTTCCTAACCGCTAAAGGAGTACAGCAGCCCTGAAGCAGTGATTACTTCAAGTTAATTGCAAGGCGAAAACCAAAGAGTAAGGCCTCATACTCGAATTTGTTATTGGAGACTTTAAATTTGAAGCGTATAATGTAGTAGGCGCGGAAGCGTTCCGGTGTAATGAGTACAACCCCAAAGCCATATGCTTTTGATGCCAAGGAGTCGTTAGTGAGTAATGTCCACACACCAGTCGTCTCCCTTGTTACTACAATAGGTGTCAGCTCCCGAGTCGTGTACTTAATAACAAAGTCGGCGAGTGCCTGGACCTTGATATCAATCTAATACTGGTTGAGGAATACAATACATGTGACCATCTGGGTTGAGTTGGTTAGGCTCCTCATTAGTCGGCCGAGCGACTAATACATATGGTCACCAGGACATGGACAGAATGAGCTTGGAAGTAGCAGGCCATTCATTTAACAGTCCAATCCACAAAAATTACTATCTTCTCGACTGAAGTGTATCACAACTTGCTGTCCTTAAGCGTGTCGAGATCTCCAGAACCCATAACTTTGATGAGTTCTTATATGGTCTAAGAACCATTTTCAGAAGTGATGAATAGGCGAAGATCTAACTTGATATTGTCCAGACCTATCGATGAGAGCACCGAACAATGGTTTGTGGAGTCTCAGGAAGAGTAAAATTAGAAAAAAGTTAGACCAGTTCTAGAGTTAGAAAGTTGTTTATTAAATTCAGCAAAATAAATGAACAATCATTAATTGTGGATCCCTTTCCTCGGAAATGCTATTTATTGGGAAAATACAAAACATGTGCCATAAGCCCAAAATGTCAGTCAATGAGTAAGTGACATGTATCTCTTGAAAGTCTTAGGAAACATGCCTGATGATGCCAACCAGTGTGTCAGGCCTATGTCATGATTATGTCAACAATAACACCGGCCTTGGGAACTGAGCCATGATGTCAGCATAAGCGGTTGTGAAGTCTGCCCTGGAAGCTTGCACTTTGAACATCTGAGAGGTAGTCAAATGTAAAAACAATAACCAAGCCAATGCTAATCAGGTCCGCTCGGCCTTGCCTATATCGTTAGTGCAGTCGGGAGTAATGAGAATCAGGTTCAACCTCGACGAAGTAGCTCGGCCCATGATAGAATATAGGCTCGACGATAGGTTGTCGGGCCTAGATTACATTAGCGACCTCGAGCTTTTTCCATCGGGGTATATGGTAGTATACTTCATCAAAAGGGTTTTAATTGTAGTGCTAAAATAATTTTCAATATTAGCACAAAAGTCTGTAAAGGCAGAAGACACATCACATTTACATTTTAAGGGAAATAGACATGTATATTTAGTGAAATAATCCACAAAAAATGATATACGGAGTAATGACATCACAACAAAATAGTGTTAAATAGTCTCAATTAGTGTACTCTACAGTAAAATTTACCCAACAATAAAAGGATCATTTTATTGGATAGAGTCCCACGGTTCACATCATGATTTTGGCCTAAGTTTAAGGAGTCCATGGGTACAAAGTTGAGGTTTAGCACAATATTTCATCCTCAAACGGATGGGCAATCTAAACGGGTGATTCAGATTTTGGAGGACATGTTGAAGGCATGTGCCTTGGAGTTCCAAGGAAGTCGGGACAACCAATTGGCTTTAGTGGAATTCGCAAATAACAAAAGTTATCAGGCGTGTATAGGCATTCCTCCATACGAGGCATTGTATGGGAGGAAATGCCGGACACCTTTATGTTGGGATGAGGTCGGCGAGGCCAAGCTTGAGGGCACCGAGCTAGTTGAGATCACCAAAGAGAAGGTGAATGTTATTCAGGATAGACTCAAGGCTGCCCAAGATCGGCAGAAGAGCTACACAGTTAAACGTCGGAGGACGTTGGAGTTTGAGGTCGGTGATGAGGTATTTCTGAGAGTGTCACATTGGAAAGGGATCATCAGATTCTTAGCCGGGGTAAGCTCAATCCACGTTACATCGGTCCATTCAAAATTCTTGAAATGATTAAGGTTGTAGCATACCGACTTCGGTTAACTCTTGAGTTAGAAAAGATCCATGATGTGTTTCATGTATCTATGCTCAAGAAATATGTACGGGACCCGTCACATTTTCTTGAGAAATCGCCGGTAGAAATACGAGAAGATCTACATACGCGGTAAAACCCTGAAGATCATATACTGGCAGGTAAAGAAACTGAGAAGCAAAGAGGTACCAATGGTAAAAGTACTTTGGAAAAGTGATCGGTTCGAGGAACAAACGTGGGATGTGGAGACCCTAGTGAGGGAGGAATATCCATTTCTATTTGACTAGACACGTGGATTTCGGGGACGAAAGCCCAACTAAGGGGGGTAAACTTGTAACACTGTCCCAAAATATATTTACTTTAACCAAGTTATGTGTTGAACCTTGAGAAATGAGTAATGAATTTTACGTGGTTGAAATTTTTTGTCATTTTTTTCACGTGAATAGTAGAATGCACGTGGAGCCCACACCATGAGCGGGGACCATCCGATATTTCCAGGGCCACATATTATATTCATATAGGTCTAGATAATATTTATATGATGTTGTATATCCATGTTGGCCCATAGAAACAATGTAGAGCTGGCCGGTTGAGCATACGAGGCCCATATACCGGTATCGGTATACTGTCATATAAAAGCCCATAATAAACTCAGGGGACCACTAAATTAAAGTTGGGGAATATATATTCATTCTAGAAGCCCATAATAATGGGTAGAATGATATATATTTTATTTGGTCTCATAAAATGAAATTTAATTAAAACAGTCCAGAAAATACAACTTTCCGGACCAAGTATACACTTCGGGGTACAAAGGGGTAACCTCCCACATGAGTAGGGGCCAGCCCACGAAATTATTTGAGACAATTGCATAGGACGAGCGGATGGAGGGATGAGGGAAGTATGGAAGGGGTTTCACTTGAAGGAAATGGCATCAAAAGGACATTTGGGGGCCATAGTCTCATTATTATTATTATAGTAAAAGCCAAAAGGAGGTCATATCTTCTCCTCTTAGCCATATACTCGACACTAGCATCCATTTTTGAAAGAAAAGCTCTGAAAATTATCATCTCCACCATTGCTATCGAACCAAGCTCAAGGGGGGGAGAAATGAGAGAAAGGAGAAGAGAAAAGAGAAGAATAGGAAGGAAAAAACTAAGCTCAACATAGGTAATGATCTCACTTATGTTTCCTCTTCTCTAATACTCTCATATGATTAAGTAAATCATGTTATAGACCCTAGGCTTGTTCTACACATTTAGATGTGGAGAATGCGGGGTTGGATGGTTGGTTTCCATCCAAAACGAACTTAGAGAACAAAGTTGACCATTTCGCCGGAAAGTGACTTTTGAGAAGTTATAGTTATTAATATGAGTCGTTGGGACACAAAAACTTGTTGGGGACTTGTTCAAGGTGAAGTTTACTTTCTCAAAGAGTTGAGAAGTAGCCGGAGTGGTTTCCGGAGCTCGCCGAAGTTTCGTCGGAGTTCAACCAAGGAGGCTAGAATTTCTTAAGCTTCACTTAAGGTGAGAAGACGACTTTATGTTTTATAACTTTTGCGTGAGGCATGAGATTACCTAAATTAATCAAGAACATGTCTTATGAAATGATTAATTGTATCCATGTATGTTTGATGCCATGTTATAGTATGAACTATGAAACATAGTAGAAAAGCATGTTATGCAAGTTTGATTATTAAAAATGTTATAATTTAATATGTATGATGTTCCAAGAAACCAAAAATGTGTTTTTGGATTGAGAACGTCAAGAAGTACATGTGTAAAATTTCACGGAAATCGAACGTCGTTTGGGCAGCCAAATAGGCATTGACCGTCAAGCCAAAGAATATATCCGTCCGGGTATGGGTATATACCTGAACGGGTATTAACTAAACTTGGATCTAGAACCCACTGCTTCACTATACCCGACCAGGTATTGGTTCTTTTTTTTACCTGGTAAGTCTCCAAGGCCCGGGGGTCATGGGGCGGGGGCCAGGGAACACCCCACCAACTTATTAAGATATAAATTTTTATAAGCATGTTTTTGAGTGAGCCTAACATGGGGCCGTTCGTGTGGGACCCGGCCACGATGATTACTAAGAATTATTATATGACTATAGGGCTAGGTATTGTCCATAGTTGAAGGAATGAAATGTTAGCCATATCCGAGTTAGAATTTGGTAGGGAATAAGGTGGGGTAGAGAACCCTTGGATGGTAAATGATCCTAAATACTCCAGGTTGGGTAGAGTATCCTTGAACGGGTAAAGGATCCTAAATACTTCAGGTTTAGGGTTGAGTACCCAAGGGCGGTAAATGATCCTAAATACTCCAGGTTGGGATTGAGTGCCCTTGGACGGTAAATAATCCTAAAACACTCGGTAGTATATTACGAATGTAGAATGTAGCTTCTGAGCTAGGCATTCGGGTTAAGAATGAGAAAGGTCAGGTAAAGACTTATTTCTCTAAAAGACTCTTTAAATGAAAATGATCTACGGGTTGAGTATTTACAAGTATATACGGTATGTATCATCTTGTGGATGGGGTAATGGTGGTTACACCTATAAATATATATATCACCATAGTTTTGAGTCTTTTGTCTGAAACATTAGATATTCCTCATATAGCTTGCTTGTCACTAGTACTTCTTTTTGTGGAGTACTAACCCCTCCGGGCGCCTCACTATTTCATGTTAAGGCTAGATCC